TCTCAACATACCAGCCTCTCTCGACATACCAGCCTCTCTCAACAGATCAGCCTCTCTCAACAGACTAGTATTACCATTTAAGACACCAGCCTCTTCCAACAGACCAGCCTCTCTCAACAAACAGCCTCTCTCAACAGATCAGCCTCTCTCAACAGACCAGTCTTACCATACAAGACATCAGCATCTCTTAACACACAAGCCTTTCACAACATACCAGTCGTAACATACAAAAGACCAAACTCTCTTACAATACAGGGCACAAGAATATCTCAACAAACTAGTCTAACGCTCTTAGACACCAGCAACTCAACAGACCAGCCTCTCTCAACTGACCATTCTTACCATACAAGAGACCAGTCTCTATCAGCGGACCAGTCGTAATATACAAAAGACCAACGTCTCTTAACTGACCAATCTTACCCTCCAAGACACCAGCCTCTCTCAACAGACCAGCCTCTCTCAACAGACCATTCTTACCATACAAGAAACCAGCCTCTCTCAAAATATTAGTCCTAACATACAATAGACAATCCTCTCTCAGCACACCAGTCTTACCATACAAGACACCAGCCTCTCTCAAAATATTAGTCCTAACATACAATAGACAATCCTCTCTCAGCACACCAGTCTTACCATACAAGACACCAGCCTTTCTCTACAGACCAGTCTTACCATACAAGAGACCAGTCTCACATAACAGACAAGAGACCAGCCTCTCTCAAAAGACCAGTCAGACCTATCAAGAATTCAATGCGACAGATATTCGTGCACTGCAGTACAAGCCTGATGCTACTGTCTACTTCAAAGTAAATTAGCAGATAGCGGAATTTGCTAAGCTAGGGTCGTAAGATTATGATCTCATCTGCAGTCCCTGACAAGTTGTACAAGAGCAGAAAAAAAAGCTGTCATATAATGAGCACCTAAAAGCAAGTCATAAATACACATTTTTATGATGAATTGCCTGATTTTAAAAATATGTTGCCATGTTAATGTTTCTTCATGTGACGTTTATTTAAAGAGTAAATTTAAAAAATAAACACATTTTTTTTGTTACATTTTGTAAAATAAGTAAAAATTAAGTCATTATTAATGTAATTATTGTGTTATGTCTCATTCATAATATATCTGACAATAAGGTTTATATTTTTATTATTATCATTCTACAAAACCCAGCATCCACCAGATTTAGTAAAATAAACAGTGAGAATAGAAATATGTAATAAATAAAGCATAACCTTCAACAGTTAATAAGTCTAGTGCTAAATACAGCCATAATGAATAAACAGTCGAAAGCGATAAAGCCATACTAAAACATCTCTACTAAAATTAAACTGACCCCATAAAGTAGAATAAACTCAAATAATTAAAATATGAGCTCAAAACTATAATCTAAATATTATGAAGTGTTAATTATAACTTAAAAACATAAACATAATTAAGTCACGTTCATCGGACAAAACGAACGAACGCGGCTGAGACCGAAATTCTCGCTTCAAAACGGCCAAGTCTGCGCGCGCACAGATAGACGGTTTGCACCGAGAGTTTTAGACCGAGCAAACCGTCTATCTTTTAAAATATACTATAATTTTGTAAATATTAACAATACTCATTTTAAAACGCTACAGCATAGTGGCTAGAGAGTTTCTTCGCACATATCATTAAAAACAATTTGTTTTAGAGCGATCAACAAAGAAATAATCAGTTTTTTGTCTCTCCTGTAAAATTTACTTTTTCGGAGTTAGACGGTTTGCGACCGAGACCATCGATATATATATATATATATATATATATATATATATATATATATATATATATATATATATATATATATATCATATATTAGATCATCTAGTTGCTGACAACTTAGAAACGTCCAATACCAGATTTGAGAGCATGAAACTGAAGAAGATAGAGCATCAAATCCCGAACTTGTGGTGGGATATATAGACAAACAAGCAGACACACAAACAGCCTGACATTTTGAAGAAGAATCATTTAAACATAACGCGACAGTTCGTCGGCTGATGAAGTCTAAAAACATAAAATTATGTGCGCCGACTGCAATGTCATTGCGTTTGTTTTTATCCAATGTTTATCCAGGTCCTGACATTCAAGGGACCTAACGTCATAGTTTTATACGTCCACGGACATCTTGTAATGAGCATGTTGTAGTGAGTTAAAAACGTTTTTAGGCCCAAAGATATGTACCGCAAAAACCGAATGTGCATGTCACAAAAATAGAAGGCTTGTTTATTTGTTAAATGGAAATTGCAAATGTTGCTTACCGCAAGAGGGAATACCACCTTTTATCACATTTCTAGTCTATCCTATTACAAATACCACTTTTTTTTTAAATTCCTAGTCTACCCTACTACAAATACCACATTTTTTTCACATTTCTAGTTTACAACCAATATCACATTTTAATCATATTTCTTGTATACACTTCTATAAATACCACATTTTTTTCACATTTCTAGTTTACAACCAAATCACATTTTTTTATCACATTTCTAGTTTACGAAATACACCACATTTGAAGGAACTGTACAAAGGACAGCAACTCTAGCTCAGGATTCTAAACTAGCTTTCATATACGTAGGAAAATTCTCAGTCATTAAAAAAACAGTGAAGATTTTGTGTCTGTATTCTTTAACATTTATCAGCTGTAACTTTATCACAAATGTCAAATGAAACACAGCGACAATTAAAAGTCTATTTTATTTCTGGTGTCAGTTGTATCTAATGTCAGCCATGTTTTTTCAAACAATAAAAGTAGGTCAGAATATGAAAGCTAGACAAAATTTAAAATACAATTAAAATTAATTAAGTAATTAGTGGAGTCACATAAGTGGTTGGGTGGGGGTCGGAAATCGAAAACATGATGGGTAGGAAGGGAGATTGGTTAAAAACTAAGCCAGCATTTATTTTTGTGGCTAAGACATTTTTTTTCATTAAGTTCGGCAAATATTGAAATAAACATACCCTTTTTATTGCTTTTTTAAATTGTTTTTTTTTTTCTGAACTATAACATTTACCTACAAAAACCATGTTAATCAATGTCAATTATTTCAAAGTCATTCTAAAATACAAAATATTATATATATATATATATATATATATATATATATATATATATATATATATATATATATATGATTTTGTTTCCTACTAGTTTTATTTAGAACTGTCTTACTATTACATTTAATATACCACAGTCTCTACAATTACATCTGATATACCATAGTTTTAATATTACTATTACATTCATAATGTGTTATTTTATCATGAAGTGTGTGCTCAATATCAATGCGTGTTGTAGATATTACTGTGTGCTGTTGTATCGTGTGCTGTTATATTGTTGTGGTTATAGTTGTGTATTTTTATAGTATTGTGTATAATAGTATTGTATGTTATTATATGAGTGTATATTGTTATATTAGTGTATGCTGTAATAGTATTGTACATTATCATCTTAGTGTATGTTGATGTACTAGTGTATGTTTCTATATTATTGCTGTTGCTATAGCCTTATTTTTTTGCTGTCTCCTTGGTACCTAGGCTACATAGACAACACACGGTTTAGTTCTGAAAGTTCTGAAGGAATTTGGTAGGGAGGTTGGTGAGCGTGATCTAGTGGTCAGCGGAAGGTGAGATAACGTATCACAAAACACAACGATGATGTATCACATAAGACAACAGTGAGATAATGTATCCCAAAAGACAACGATGATGTATCACAAAAAACAACAGTGAGATAATGTATCCCAAAAGACAACGATGATGTATCACAAAACACAACAGTGAGATAATTTATCACAAAAGATAAAGATGAGATAATGTATCACAAAAGACAACAATGAGATAATGTATCACAAAACACAACAGTGAGATAATTTATCACAAAAGATAAAGATGAGATAATGTATCACAAAAGACAACAATGAGATAATGTATCACAAAACACAACAGTGAGATAATTTATCACAAAAGATAAAGATGCGATAATGTATCACAAAACACAACAATCATATAATGTATCACAAAAGACAATGACAAGATAATATCACAATAACATCCAAGACGCTTTGCAAGTAATTTCCCAGAAATTGTCGTCTGCCGTCGTTTTACCGTTTGACTCTGGCATCGCTAGCAGACGATTACTTGACGAGGGAAAACGAGGCAAGATAAAGAAGATGGGGCGCCATTAAAAATATACTTTTCAAATTGGCGGCGATAACAACTGTAAGAGAAATGCCGCGGAAGCGATCGTCCCAAGTTGGATAATTGTGTTATTAAAGCAGGAGATTGTATTGCCGAGATTTGTGTGAAGTTGGTATTTGGGAAAAACTACAACTAATGTACGTGCTACTATTATGCGACGACAAAACACAAGAGCGATTTACGCAATTTTACGATTGTCTAATCCAAAACTAGCCCTAGGCTTAACTTTCACCAAAACTTTCAACTTAGTCTAAACGACTTCATAACCTATCAGTCCTAAGCTAAACAAACCTTAATAGAACAACCGACATATGTATGTTTGGGTTTACATGGAGAGTAAGACACCAATAGTTTACACACCGTTTATTATTATTATTACAACACAAGCGATTTTTGTTAGCAGAAAATAGTTTGTGTAATTAGAATACAAACAATTCTTATTATTAGAAAGTAGTTTGGGCATTCGTCATTAAAACCAAGTTTTGTCATTAGAAAAAAAAGTCTTTTGTGTCTTTTGACATAAACAATTTTAGGCATCAAAAACAAATTATTTGTATACAGTTGTCCATACTGTCAATTTCAACGATTAATTTAATGTCTTGCACGGCTATACTTAGCCAACGCAGCGGTTACTGAATAATAAATCGAATACGTTTATATATAGATCTAAGTATATATATATATATATATATATATATATATATATATATATATATATATATATATATATATATATATATATATATATATATAAAGGTGTCAAAATGTCTCCCTACCTGCCATGGTTGTGGTGTCTCCAGGGCCAAGAAAGACATCCTGGTGGTAATATCCTAAGTGGTGATGGTGTTAGTACACACCTCCGTGGTGAAATCTGCACAATCAAGTGAAATCTGCACAATCAAGTGCACACACGCGCACAGCAAATCTCAGAAAACTGTCCTAAACCCGAATAATTTTTTTTAATTCCTAAACTTTACGCTGTTTAAAAAAGTTCGAATCCAATTTTAGAATTCTCTGGTGTGAGTATGGGTTTAAGTTTACGTCAGGGTTGAGGTTTTACGCACGTCATGACGCTACCCCTGACCAGTCTTGCGGACAGACTCGACTATTTCACCGATACCAAAATCTGACGCGGCAACAGCATCGCTGCGGCTTTAATTAAACACAGGCCATCATCGTATCGATAATCAAAGGTAATCAAGTCCGCCCATGCAGCCCGCCGTTCAACGCAGACGACTGCTTCAGAAATCCAATCGTCGCTTAGCGATGACTTACTCAAATGAAAATAACAACCTCGGATATTTTTATTTTTTTTTCACGAAATAATTACCGATTTAAAAACACGTACTTGGAAATAAAACGAAAAAAAAAAAATCCTGAAAATTTTCAACGACGTGAAAAAAAAATGTCTGTTGGTGAAATGAGAGCGGTGACGAGTAGGGTAGCAGGCGTGAAGTCCTGGCGAGGTGTCAAGAGTCCCCCACGACAAACGCTGGGTTGTCTAACCGCCCCGAGATGCGCTGCTCCCCCACACGGTAGTGCACCTACAGCGTCCTGGTAGTAAAAAAAAAAAAGTCCTGAAGTGCTGGATGCTCACGGTAGGACCTGTCCTCCAGCTAAACTCGACTAGCACCGTCGGCGTCGAGTCCCGAAAATTTCGTTAGCTCGCCTGTAATCCACTACTATTTCCTATTCAAAAATATTTCGTCTGTCATATTTCTCTTCTTTCCCCTTCTTGAGCCCCCTTTTGTCGGCGGTGATTTCCCCTTATTCGTGCCAACTAAAACGATTCGACAGCGCGTCTCGTGCGTTTGCGCGGTATTGAACGCCGTTGACATATATGGGCAAAAAGGCGGGGCCACCGCCGCGTTGTCGACGCATCCGCCCCGCCTTTGAAATTACCAGCTTGACTGTTATTGCGGTGAAGAGCAGAGTTTTCCCCCCTCCCGCGCTTTTCCTCCTGTCAGTCAAAGTCGGCTGGCGTTGTGCGGGCTGAGCGAACTACCGCTGCGGGCGGCTGGACAGGAAACTGAAATCCCTGTTGTAGAATGTGGTAGCTGTCAGTGAATGAAAAAAAAACCTGACTTTACCCGTCTGCTAGACGGTGGATGGGCGGTCGAGGGACGGTAGCATGGGACTGTGCTCCGGGTGGTTAAGGTTTGTTTGTTTGCAGAGCCGGCGTTAGGGGTACGCGGGGCCTATGGCCAACCATCCGCGCGGGGCCTTATATTTTTTTCATTGGTGTATAATTAAATAAAACATGTACAGTGAGGCGTTTTTTTTTCTTCCCAACGCGAATTAATATTTATAACGATATATATAGTATTTTTAAGTTGTTTATCAATGTCGTATTAACATTAAGACACTGATTAACAAATAATTTGTTTACTTAGAAGTGCTTTTGAAACGTTGCTTGTTTCTGTTAAGGCTTTTTGTTTGAAAAGTAAAAAATAAAACAGATATAAGTTTGAGACACGCATTAAAGAGGCGATGAACGTCAGCTTCAAACCTGATTTTTTTACATTAATGTTTATTTATGAAAATCTTACCAGTACGTTCACAAACGAAGATCTACTTTTCTTGCCTTTTGTGAGGAAAATTCCATGATTATATCATCATAGTCCAAACTGAAGGCTGTGTCTTTTTCTATTGACAGAATCGACAGGCCGCAGAGCCTGTCTTGGGACATCGTTGATCTCAAATAGTTCTTGATCAACTTCAGTTTGGAGAAACTTCTTTCGGCGCTTGCAACTGTGACTGGAACTGTTAGCAAGATTCTGTAGGCGATCGCCGTATTGGGAAAGGAATCCCGAATACTCCAAATGTACTGAAGGCACTGTTTGGCTGACTTAATACCTTCGGGCACTTTGAAGCAACGTTAAATCGGTCCACAGTGGCAGGTGATAGTATCGATATTTTCTCAATTTATCGAGTGTTAACAGGGGCATTCAAAGTGTGTGGATGCCGGGGAAAATAGCAAAACATTGATAGATTTCGGAATAAGCTCGAATCGTGAAAAACACGGACACTCAGTAAGGTGGAACACTGGGGGGGGGGGGGGGGGGCAGTTGGTGGGGTGAGGTGAAGCCCGTGAAGGATAACTGTACATTTAAATCTATGGGATGCCAAACCCTAAAAAAATCAGTTCGGGTACTACGTTACTGGATCTCTGACCGCAGCCATTCAAGAGAAGGTGCGTCTTTATAGAGCGTCCACGTATTACATTACATATTAAGACCGCGTTATCACAAGAGAAGGTCCGTGTCTATAATTAGAAAGTGAACCATGTGACAGCCAGCTTCATGTTATTTATGAGTTTCGCGATGGCATGCTCGGACTGCCGGTAATTTAGACGTTTTAGAAATCAAGAAAAGTTTACCATAAAACAGTCTCGGCCCGATGTATCAAACAGTATAGACTTTATAATTTGTGGGTGACACCATTTAGGGGGGTGACACCAAGGCAAAAAATAGCAAAATATATAGAGAAGAGGGGGTGCAAATCGAAAGTTTGAGGTGGGGGGTGCAAATCGAAAACTTGAGGGGGGTGCAAATCGAAAATTTGAAAGTTTTTTCCCAGGAAGGGTCGCTACGCCTCTGGGGGGGGGGGGGGGCGGGTGACACCATTAAGTGCCGCACCGGGTGACACCCGACCTCGCTACGCCACTGTCCCTACAATTAATTAAAATAAACATGTGCTTAATCACTTTACGAATACCGTTAAAGTTTACCAAAATGAAAATGGACATAATTACTGTATAAATGCCCTTCAAAAATATAAAAATAAATACAAGTATAATGTATTTAAAGATGACCTGACAATATATAAAATAAATATGAACATAATTACTGTATGGATGCCTATCAAACGTATCGTGGTGAATATGCATAATTACACAAAAGATGCCCATACAGTGTATAAATTATGATTTTAGGGATAAATACTCTGGATTTCCGGGGCATGTCCCCATCCGCTCCCCCCCCCCCCCCCTCCTCTGCAAGCCATCATCCGGTCACTGACTGTTTACTACAGGCACCCCCGCCTGCTCACTAAAAAAACGTCTTCAACGGTCCGCATACAATAGGGTATCTCTTTACCTCCCATGTCAGGTCGGGGGCTAATTCGCGACCGCCATCTCCAGTCACCTCAGGACAATAGCGAGTCGACCGTGCCAGTGATGTGTGACACAAATGTCTTCGTATCGAATAACGGTCTGTACCAGTCCATGTAGAGGATAACTCACTAACATCAGCCGTGGCCTCAGTTTTAACATCCAACAATTTCGGCCATTTAGTTGGGTTTTTTTTTTTAAATTTAATTCTTCAAAGATTATTTAAGTTTACAAACTAATTCAGGCAACAATGGCGTTGCTGAAGCGCGGGGCCCCTTCATGCGCGGGGCCTGGGGCGACCGCCCCGTTTGCCACCCCCTAACGCCGGCTCTGTTTGTTTGTGTCCCCGTGAGGGCATGAGCTATGTGCGGGTAGGTACTATGGCGCAATGGAGAAGACAGGTATTTGCACAGGTAGTGCGCGCCGTGTCCACTAATTCCCGGAAACAACTGATAACTCCCGCGCGCTTTGGTGATATATTGATATATTTTTCTGATATTTTGTTTCCCAGCCTTTAGCGAACCTCGTATTATTTTTTTTCAGAGATGAAACTATTATAGAAGTATATAAACTTTGGTTACTTATAAGCGAGGTTTGGAACCCCAACACATCAAGTTTACCTCATGTATACTTAATTGTAAAAGTAAAAAAAAAAAGAATTCTCTTTAGACCTAGCGATCCTTTGGGCAGCTAAACTAGTTCATATGTTTGTTGACATCGGCAAATAGAAAGGTTTTCAGCTATTTGCCTAGCATGAGTTAGGCACCCATAAGAGCTGGGTGGACTCATTGACTCATTCCCCTTACTAGAACCCGGATTCGAACTCAAGACTTTCGGGTTAGCAGTCTAGTGCTCTACGGCTTAGGCCACGCCGTCCCAATATACCTAATAGTAGGTGGGGTAAAATTATATTTGGACATGCCTTATGAATTTGTGTCCATGACCTGCAAATCATGAACCAAACAATCAGCAGTCGGGTTTTTGCTGAGATCAAACTGACCACAAGTGTAATTTTTACTCACGAAATATTTTCAAACTTACCTATGAGCTGTGACCGCTTTCAAAAGCCGACTTGTAAATTATTGACCAAAATTTTCCTAATGTCTTGTTATAAACAAATACCTACGTCACGAATGTTCATCTCACATGACACACTGAGGAAATAACCAAGGGGCTGCAGGTTCAAACTCCAGTCACACGGGGACCTTGCCTTAGCTTTCTTATACACACCCCACATCCACCAACCCACAACATACGCTGACAAAATAGCTGGAGGAGGGTGGGGTAACACCCCCCCCCCCCCCCCAGTTACAGCAAATGATGATACACGGCCCAGTAACGCCACTGCCTACAACAGCTTCTCGCAATCATAAACCTGCACCATGTCAAAACATTCACCGGTTAAGTTTTGTTTTGTTTTCCATATAATCAGCAACGGTGGTGCTATCAGTGTTTCTTCCAGACTTTTTTCTCCGGCGGGGCACTTGAAATTTTCGGGGGGGGGGGGGCGGTAAACTTTCTTCGGGGGGGCGGACACTGTTAAAAGTATATATTTTCTATATAAATTATATAAATGTCATTTCGTTCGGGGGGGGGGGGCGGTAAAAAAATTTCGGGGGGGGGGGGGGGGGCTTTGCCCCCCCCCCCCCCGAAGAGATGCCTGGAAGAAACTCTGGGTGCTATGGGTGTTGGACTCATCAAGCTTTAGACACACACATTCAATCGTCTATTATTTCATGTAGGAAGGTGGAGAGGGAGCCAATGATAATTTCGTT